GGAAAGAGAAAGGGAGAGAGACCGCACAAAGACAGTTTCGTTGGTCTATTATTGTATTTTCCCTTGTAAAAGAAATCAGTATTTATTCAGCAAAACCAATGCAACTACAGGAAATTCTCTGTGTGCCCCAAGAAAAAGTGGACACCTCTGCTCAAGGAGACAAAGGAAGTCACAGCTCTGAACACCTGTCTTCCATTCCCCTTTCTTCTTTCTGGAGAACTCAACCTCTTTTCAGCCAGTGGCTGCTGGACACACTCAGAAGAAAGAGGACACAAGAGCCCAGGACCTACGTTGATGACCCCGAGCCTTTGTGTGCTCCCTGAGGCGATATGTGCACTGGGGATGCTGGACACAGGGTAGTATCAGTTCTGCTCACATCATCAAACAGAGTGAAGATGCAGGATCCAGGGGCTCCTGTCCGTCCCAAGAGAGCCCTGAGCTGTTCCCAACTCACTGCTCATCCCCTCAGTTTTACTCGGGATGAGGGTTGCTCCATCACACAATTACTGCTGTAGCTTCACAAATTCGATTATGGTGCTCGCATCGGACATCATTCCAGTTGTCTGTTTTTTGATTCCTATAGATTACAACACACTTCTCAGCAGTCACATTACTTGGTTCGTCTTTCCGCCAGAACCTGAGATAGAGACAGACATATTACTCCCCAGCATACCCCATAGAGCACTGCTGGAAAAGGCCACAAGCATGATGCAAGGCTTGGAGAAGAGAGAGAACAATTCCAGATGCTGATTCAAGGTCAGAAGCAGTACTGTTCCTCCTGCTCTGCTATCCCAGTGGCAGTAGTCTTATGGGGAAACCTGCCTTCTTCCTACAGCAAACACAACAAGGACATTCTCAGTCCTGGTGGGGAAAGCTGCTCACCCCATGCACTTTACACCCAGCGGAGGCATGTGTGGACCTCCAGGACAAGTCTGTCCTCCAGGAAGGAGAGCCCTGGTGATCTCTCCCTGTGCCCCATCTCTCCCACAGCATCACAGCACTGGCCATGCCCATGTGTGCACATGTACATGGTGGGGACAGTATGCAGGTCAGGCAAGGCTGGTCAGCTCTGAAAGGTTCTTCCTGCTGCCAAGATGCAGCTTCTTCTGTGCCTACAACATCGGTGGCCACATCACAGGTAGCTACCTAACAACCGCTAACCAGCATGGATGGAGCTGTGTGAACCTGTCCTACACAGCCCTCTCCTGCTCCATCCTTGTCCTCTCACAAGGAGTTGTCTCACCTCCCTCTCATGCACCAGCAGACATAGTCTCTTGAACTACCAGGAGCTGCAGCAAATACTCTCCATCCAGAGATACTCACGCTACTGTATTATCAAGTGGAGTCTGGTCCAACCACTGCCACTGGCCCACCTTCTGTGCACTCAGACCGATGTAGTAATTCTCTCCTCTTGTAGGCTGATTTACCTCCTTAGTGAGAAAATCCTGGAAATCAGGGAGAGTGCAATGTGCATGAGGTGCAGGACTGAGCAGAGGGAGGCAGGAGGAGCCCCCATGGGACTAAGCCAGTGCTGAAGAGGATAAGGAGGGGATCTGTGTCCTCTCCAGGGCCTGGCACTGTGTCTGTGGCTGCTGTGCCCCTCTGTACCTGCTCTGCTTTGCTGTTGATCACCGCCACATAGGAGCCCATCCCAGAGCAGTTCTGCTGGCTCTCAGCCCAGATCATCATATCATCCGACAGGTAATAGCAGCTTTTCTGAAAGCGTTTCCAGCCATTTGGGCAGCACGTCCAGCCTTGTCCTGTGCAGGGAGAGATGGCAGGTATGAATGCTAACAGTGAGAGAGGTGGTGACAGCAAGGATCCCTGTTCTCCAGGGACAATGCTCATGTTCTCCTTAGATCACTTTTCCTGGCAGAAAGGGCTTGAATAAACAAGGATGATAGAGATATTTCTTCCAATTGCTTTGGGGTATGAGTGAGCTTTCTGTACACAAATCCATGGTAATCCTTGTAACGTGATCTCAGGTCTTGACTTGACAAAGTTATTTTCATGATCTGTTCTGACTTCTTATACAGTCTCCTTTAGGCCTGGTTAACCCAAGGAAAAGGGATTTCCCTGACTAGAGCTGCACTTTTATTATTGCTTCATTGTTAAACTTCCCTGTGGCACTGTACTCTGTCCCTTTTGTTTTATCAGTGTCCACAACCAACCTTCCCCTTAGGACATCATTAACATGGCCCTCTCCTCCCCCTAAGCTATTAGCAGGAAATCCTTTTTCCCCCAACCCCTTCCCTCCAGAGTCAGCTCCCGCTGATGTTTGGTGTCAGAGCAGACCCCAGCATTCATTGTCCCCATCCCAAAGAGCTCCTGCACCCCTGCCAGCACTACTGACCTTTGCCTTGCAGCCCTGCCGAGACACACTGCCACTTCGTGAATTTCTGCTGCAAGGCTGTGGGCTGGTCACCGCTTTGGGAAAAAGGTGCAACTGGAAAGGGAGAGGAAAGGATGCAGGATTATCCCTTCCACCCGGCTCCTCACACACCATCTCTTGTGCTTCACTCTTTTTTTCCCCATTTCTCCACCAACCACTGTCTCAGCCTCCCCTTGCCTTGGGCTGTCTCTTCGCATTTCACAAGTGATAATTGCCATCCTCTTGGTGAAGGAAACTGTTTTTTCTGCTCCCAGCGTGCCACAGCTGCCCACAAGGACTCCTCTGCCCATTAACAAGATCTAGCCAGGATGACCTGGCCAGCAAAGCCAGAGAAGCCTGAGAGCCACCCAAGCTGTGCCTCGTGACCATAGCCAGCCTCTGGTGTGTCAGTCAAGGTGAAGGTACACATACAGCTAGGGCTGCTGAAACCAGAGGGAAGGTGAACTCCTAGGACTTGCTAGCCAGTTTATGGGCAGTAATACAGTGCTGGTGACAAGTGTCAGCAGGCCACATCCACAATCCAAAGGACTTATCGATAACTCACTCAGGGGCATGGATTGGAAGCTGACCAGGGTGTGCTAAGTAATACAGATGTCTATATTTATCAATAGAAATATTGTTACTAGTGAGGAGGGCAGAGTAATCATAGTGGCCTCTGTGACTGATGAGTGAGTTCCTATAATGGAATAAGGCTCAGAGGAGCTGATCAAGGGCAATACATGGCTGACCATGGCTGTTGCAAAGAAAGGTGACCTGAGACACAAAGGGGACCAGACAGTGGCCTTTCTTCTAGTTCAGTTGAGTGAATTAACCAGTTGTATCAGCTGAGTTGGCCAGCTGTGTAACTGTTCATCAGAGAGGGCAATGTCTTCCTAAGATTGTCAGACCAGCATGGGGTGAGTGTATATGTGGCTCAGTCCAAAACAGTGTAAAAAAAAAAACGGGCCTGAGTTGGCTTTAACTTAACCCAGTTATTCCTTCTGAGTCACTGGGGACACCCAGTGTCTTGATGTTGAGCATATTGCAGAAACCGATAAAGAAAATCACATTTGTATTGTGATTCAACTGTGCATTGCAATCGCTACCCTCCTCTAAGTGCAATTTATACTTGTGTTTTTATTTAAATGCATGCTGTATCTCTCTGCTAAATCAAAATCCTATGCAACAGTAATTAACTTGGATAAGTAAGTTTGCCATTAAAGACTAAACTTTCCACATGTGGAATATCTAAAAGAACTTGGCCAGACAGTATCAGACTCTAACAGCCTACCCTAAATCTCCACAACAATTTAGCAGAGTATTGTGAAAAGGTATACATTTGGGAATAAAGCAGTACAAATTTCTGGGATTTGGAAACTAATGACAGCAAAAGGAAGGGCAGCAATTTAGCCCAACAACGTGCCTTCTTCCAGAATCCATCATCTTTATTGACAGTTTGTGCAAACATGACATGAATGATCCTTAGCAGAAAATGAGAATGAAACAGTGAACACAATCTCCACAAACTGCGCCTGCAAGAATCACTTTCAATGAATTATTCTAGTAGAATACAGTTAGCACTAAAAAAGGTGTGAAAGCTTGCACTGTGCAGTTAATCCTGGAGATGTCAGGGCTAACTGTGAAAAGCTGTTTTTTCCATTAAGAGTGTGTCAAAGTGTCTCGGAGAGCTTAAGTGCAGGTCCAGCTGCCTGTATGGACACTTGTGCTGCCATCTCCAGGCTTTTTCCTCACTGCTGAATGGAAATTAAATTATTTTTGTGTGGTACGCAGGTAAAGAATTGTTCCACAGTCCCAAAGAGGCCATGTGAGATGGGGATGTCCAACCTGGGAACACTGGAAAGGCCTCAGGGTAAACAGTGGAAGATTTGAGGGATGTATGCAGACATGCACCAAATCAGGGCAGAGAAGCCTGAGACGTTTCAGAAAGCCCAAGCAACCCTGAAATTCTGAAGATGCCCATGCTTCAAGTAGGACATTGGACTAGCGACATTCAGAAGTCCCTTCCCACCTAACTTTTTCCGTAATTCTAAGAAAGAGAAGGTGTACAGCAGAACTATCCAGCATAATGCTGTGGTAGTGCTAGCTCCTGCATACCAGTTGGCCAAAACGTCTGGTTTGACTGGCCTGCAACAGATAAGTTTGTGTCATGTCACAACTGTACCCTTAAATCCGCAATGTTTTAGTAGTCAGGAAAGATTTTGGTCCTAAGCATACCTTTAAAATATTCAGCATTCAGGTTTTCTGAGCCCAAATGTTGGCGCTTGCATCCTTTCTCACCACAAAACAGTTCCTGAGTAAAAGTTCCCTTCTGGTTGGAAGACGTTCCTCTCTGGGCTTTGATTTCTCTGCATTTCTCCCAGCACTTCCCCCAGACCTCTCTTTCCTGTAACCAACCTGTACATACTCACCAAGGAGAGCAATGACAAGGGCAATGCACACCAAGAGAAGCAGCAGTGAGATCAGCCACGGGAGCCAAAGTGGGTATTTCTGGGTATGGTGCCCATCCTTATGATGCTGATGTTTCTTCGTCTCAGGAGGTACTGAAAGTAAAGGAACACACCAAACACAACAGCACAGTCAACCATACTTCAGTCAGCCCACATACCAAAGATGTACAGCTCAAAGGAGAGCTGCTCAAAAAATACGCTATTTCAGTTCTTATGTGAAAGTTATACAGTTTGGGAGAGGGACAGAGCAGGGGACCTCCACGATTTCTGGAGAAGGTGAGGTTCAGTGACAAGGTTCACAGCCCCAGCACCGCTGGTGAGCTAGCAATGCTAATTGCTTCTATTTGGGGGTGAAGCCTTCACATGGCCTCAAAATCTAGAGTGAAACCATGTCTTTTTGATTGAGCCCAGAGCTGCCAAATATAACATTGCTCTATCTGTGATGCCTGAGTCATTCACATGAAGATTTCATGTTGACATCTCCCTTTTAGAGAGCCCCAGATATCCCTGGCTAAATAATATTTTTCTAGCCAGAACTTTTAGACAAAGAAGGATCAATTAGGTGATCTGGAGTCCAGCCACCTATTTTGGAGGATAGATCTGACCAGTCCAGATGATTTTTTGATGTGCTGCATAGTCTGACCGTTCAACCTGTGTCCAGTCAGACCTGTGCATCCTATGCTCACACCCAGGTGGCACAGGAAGCACCGCCAGTATGCGTGCATCTCACCAACACCACCAAAGTGCAGTAGATCTTGTGCGTACTCAGTGGGCTTATCTCCCTGCAAAATGCCTCCTATCGTTATTCTGCATGCTTGATGTGTCCAGCATGGTCACAACAGACTAGATGAGTGCATGCTGGTTAGTCAACATGTAAATCCAACATCTGCTAGGCACCTGCAACAAGTGCTGTGCAGTCTGTGTTTCTGCCTGGGAAATCCTGTTTGGAAATGCAAGAACCTTAACAGCACTGGGGTGTGAAGCCCACCCGAGTAGTCTCTACCATCTCCTGCCACAGATTATTTGTTGTTTGATTAGCTGCTGCCTTCTCCTCTCTATCTTCCAATGACTGCAAATTCTGTTATCTCTAGAATCCAACTAGAAGGGGTTACAGAATGGGAAAACGCAGATGAGCTTGGCCATTACCAACACAGAGTCTGCATGGCTAGAATAACCACTCGGAAGGACAACAGAGCAGCAGGACTTGCTCAATCTGTCAGTAATTTTCAATCATAAATCTCACCTTATCAGGATACCATGAGGCTGTGCAAGACATTAGCACTGTGCACAGTGGTACTACTGGACCTTTCTCTGAATTCAAATTATGAGCTGCAACCAGTGTGTGATCACAGACAGACCCTGAGCACACACCCAAACCTACAGCACAAGCCTGGCGTTAGCTGCTCAAGCAGACGTGGCTGGATCAGGAGTCTTTGTAACAGGTCATTGGGAAAACAACAGGGAACTTCCACCACCTCTACCTCACCACGATGGAAATGCTAGCTGTAACCAGAACTAGCTACTCTTGGTGCAGTGAAAATAGTGAGCTTGCAAGTCAGTCAGGAGTGTGTACATTCTTTATTTCCATGACTCATGCCTCAGAGCAGGCAAGGAATAACCTAGAGCTGATGCCTGCTCTGTCTGGCACTGTAAAACTGAGGTAAAGCTGTAAATAGGCAATCTAATCTCCTTAGAGCAATAATCATTTATCCATTCATTCATTCATACACACATATTTTCACCCGTTTTGTAGTGTCCTCTATCTACAGGTGGAAGCAATGAGCCATACATGGAATATCTCTATGTGTTCTACGTATGGCATGACAACTACATTGTATGTACTGATCAGAACATGTCTTAAATTTGTGCAAAGCCTAGTAAAGGCATCATTTTGCAACCATAATTTTTAATAGTAATAAAAATTTGTTTGTTTGGTGCATCAATTATTTTTTTAGGAGTGGAAGACCTCAATCACAGAACTGGATCTTCTTCCAGATCTTAGATAATTCTTCCTCTGTGTATTTTAAGGTGCTTTGTACAAGCTTATTCTTCATTCTAACTTTTGGGTCTCTGTTCTGCAAGGACCATTTCTCACTCAACCAAGGACAACGGTGCTACAAGTTTCTGCTGCCAGTGACACCTCTCACAAAGCAGCAGAGGGCAATGGACAGCTCTACTGCAAGGAGATGTTGGTTCTCTATTCCTGCTCTCTCCGTACACAGGAATCTGTAGCCTCACTCTCTCAGAGGCAAGAACAGTAGCAGTCAGGATTTAGGCTTATCTGCAGCTCTGGGAGCCCCTCTCCATCTCTGTGACAGATCAGATTGTTTGTAGTAAACTATAGTCTCTATTGTTGGTACTCAGTATTTGTCCAAAAATGACTCTTCCATCCAAGACTACATAACATACAGAGGCAGCTATTGCCTGCATTGTACCAGGGCTAAGCACCCATCCTGGACCTTCTACCATTCACCATTGGTGTTGCAACCATGGGACTAAAGGACCCCAGATATGTTCCTTACTGAATGCTCACTTGAAACCTACTGTCTGTGCTCCTGGTAGTCAACTTTGCTCATATTGCAACTCCAACCACCTAAAGATTCCCACCTCTCCTCTCATAGACGTTCCTTGACCTTCTTACTTCAAAACTCCTCCAGTCTCCTGCTCATCTAGTGGTAGACAACTCCTTTTCCTCACAAATTGGTCAAGACCAGGTAGGAACCAGAGTGACAGAAGGAAAAAAATCTCCATTCCTTGTTCTTCAGCCCTCATCCCTCCCTGAATAACCCTTCCCCTGAATAACCCACTCATTCCTTACCTTTGGCCACTGCAGCTGGTGATGCATTCTTGAACTTCACCTCAGCGTAGGTGATTTCTGATGCCATTTAGTCAGTGTGATCACTGATCCCTGTCCTTAGTTTTGCTGTGTAAAAGGTGGGCCTTTTTGGTCCCTGGTTCCAGAAGGAGACATCAGTAAGTTACTGAGCCTTTTCCATCTGCTCGTTCACCCTCTGTCAAAGGCGGCTGTGCTGGACACTGGGAGCACTGGTGACAACCTGAGAATTCCTGGAAGCTCAGAAATGCTCTGAACAGATCTTCTGTTTCTTAACCCAGGAAATCAGCCCTGGCACTATGGAAACCTCAGAGAGAAAAGAAAAATGAGAACCTAAATACTGAAAAGGAAGTTGCACTCTTCCTTCCCCATATCAAAGTCTCAACTGATGGGTTTCCTTTTTAAGCTCTTGGGTTTTTTCATTTTCCTCTTTTTCCTTCTCTTATCTTCATGCCTTTCTTTGTCATTTAGTAATTCTTCCATTGCTCTTAGGTTTGCAGCTTTCATGGGTCTTAGCCCAGTTTAACCTGCAGCGCAGCCCAATACAAAACACATTCTGCCCTCACTTGTCTCCTCTGGTTAAGCTGCATTTGCCACATGGAATATCACACGCTATGTCTCGTCATGGGAGGTCAGCCCCAGTTAGCAGCTGGCACTGGAACAAATCTCAAATGAGAAACTGCTCCTGTAGAAATGAGACTGGGGAGTTGCAGCCGTAAGCAGAAATAATCAGAAGTTTGATATATCCAAGGAGAAACAGGGAAGGATGAGGCCAAGGTCAGGGAGGAAAACAAGCAAGTAGAATAAAAAAAGAGGTGTTGATGGTTTGAGAGGTTATTGGGAAGAGCACACACAGAGACCTCTCTATCACAACCCGATTTACAGCCTGTGTAAACTCAGAGCAGTGATCGCTTCAGGGAGTCAGGCCCCACTTCTGAGGCTGAAAAGGACTAGTTTATATTTTTTGCTCCAACACTGTCATTTGTCTTCCTTCACTGTTTTCTGGTAAAGACCCCTAATATTACCTTGGGGGAAATGTCAGGCTACTGTTTAGTGCGATTTCAAGCTGAGGCAGATGTTAAAAGGAAACAATTAAGGGAAATGGCTGCTGAGATACACAGTGAATCAGAAAGACTTCTGAGAGGAAATGCCAGCGAGTCAGGACACCCTGGAGAAAAAGGGTTAAATTAGCAGATAGGACTTAGGAATCACAGAATGGTTTGGGTTGGAAGGGACCTTAAAGATCATCCAGTCCAACCCCCCTGCCATGGACAGGGACATCTGTCACTAGATCACGTTACTCAAAACCCCATCCAACCTGGCCTTGAATGCTTCCAGGGAGGGGGCATCCACAACTTCCCTGGGCAACCTGTGCCAGTGTCTCCCACCCTTAGAGTAAAGGATTTCTTCCTAATATCTAGTCTAGAGCTGGAGATGAGATAGGACAGTGCAAGGAAGAACACGCATCAAACAACAGAAGAGAGCAATGTGGCAGAAGGTAAAGGGCCAGGGAGGGATGTAGTGCACATCTGAACGCAGATTATGGAGAACTACCCCTAGATAGAATGTGGCACGTGTGGCTGGATTTCTCTACCAAGGAGACTCCTCATGTCTCATGTGTGCTGAACTGGCTTCACTTCTACTTTTTGTATTGTGTGCAAAGAGGGGGACTTTTATATAAGAAAAGCAGCTGCAGGACAGAAGCCTGATTGCTAGAGAAGATGCACACTGCCTGCTTTTCTTTCCAACATCCTTCCAGCCCTTTCCTTTGTCTTCAGGCTTGACCTTCTCACTGGAATTAAGCCTCTCTGAGTGTTTGCTGAAACCTGGTTATGCCCTCAAATTTCATGCTGAGATTTCAGTCAGAGTAATCCTCTGGGTGTTTCCCCCCCTATCCGTGGCCAAGAAAGGCACAACAGACTCACAGTCTTGTGAGGGGAAAAGCTTACTTCCTGGCAGAGTTTCAGACTTTCCACCGCAAAGAAATGGGAAACACAATCAGCGGACAGAGAAGGAAGTCACAATGTAGCTTCATGAGCTTTTTTTTGCCATTGAAACATGTCTTCAAACACAGCTGGGGCATTTCAAATGCAAATTCAGGATCTTGCTGCTGAATTTATTCAAACACACTAGATTGCACTCAAACATCAGGAGACAGCTCAGTTCTTCTCAGCTATCAGAACTGCTGCTTGCTGTCAAAATTCAACCCTGAACCACACTTCCATAGGATTCAATGTTGGGCTCCTGTACAACAACAGTGAGGTGATATTCTTGAGCGTATAGTTTGTGCTTTGATGACATGTAAATGAGTGGGAGATAGGGAGAATTGAGTCCAGTAGTTAGGTGTGGAGCTGAAAATAGAAAAATGAAAACCTTGCTTTAAAAAAAAAAACCCCAAACCTCACACTTTGCCTTCCCACTGCTGCTCCTCAGCTCCTCCTTTCCCACTGCTGCTCCTCAGCTCCTCCCTGCCCCCTCCACCTGTGTTCTGCCCACCCCATGCAGTGCATCCTCATCCTCCCACGGTACCTGTGTTTCCCCACAGACATCTTTCACCTCAGCCCCGCTCAGCACTGCCAGGTACCTCCCATGGTCCTGACTCCCACATATCCTAGGATTAGCTGGGGCTTGCAAGGTGTTTGCTTGTCGCACCAGTCCTGCTTTCCCTCCTCTCTCATGCTCCAGATGCTGCCTTTAGGTGGTCACTCTGCAGGCTGTGCAGGCACTGTTTGGCTGACTGACCAAAACAGAAGGCAGCAGAGGCACTAATGCACTTTCCCCCCACCTGTCAATGAATTTTGAGTAAGGGAGTATCTGCGAGCCTTTCACCTCACAGCCAGTTTCACACAACTTAGCAAGCAGGTCCATGTAACAGCCAAGGAGACAGCACCACTGCACGTGCCTTGGTTCTTCTGAAAATCAAGCCAAACCAGTTAAAATTGAATTCACAAGCAAAGAGAAGGATTTGAATCCTAAAGTTGTGACCCCACACATTCCAAAGAACTTATCCACCTTAGACATTGAGCACAGCTGTGGTGGAAGTTGCAGGGAAGCAAGAAGCTTGTTGCAATCCAGTCAGAACAGAGAGGGACAGCTGAGGGAGTTCAGTCATCAGAGGTGGCATGGAGGTTACACTGGGACATCACTTTGGCAGCCCAAAGCCAATAGCTAGCACCTCTTTAGAAAATTTGATAAAAGGCAGAAGGCAGCTGACTGGAGTGAAAGGGATTATTAGTTTGCATTCTTCAACAAGCCGACCTTGCAATCAAATGAGGAAAAATGAAATTATAATGACCTCCATTAAATGTAAAACCACAACAAAGCAGAGGCAAAAAAAGAGACTGAAAAACAACTAGCAGAAGCCATCAGAACTAGTAATGAATCCTTTTCTAGGAAAAGCAGAAACCTTTTGACAAGCTTTGAGGACAACTGAAGAGCAGGGTATAAAAGCAGCAGCCAGAAAGAACAAGGATATTGAAACAAAGCTAAATTAATTATTTGTGACAGTGGAAAAAACTGGAGAAATTGTCACAGGAAAACCCATTTGTGAGGGACTAAACCAAAAGACTTGTCCAGAATGAAAGTGATTGTGCAAAAGGTGTGGAATCAGCAGTTCTGGGCAAGATAGTCCCAGGGTTTCCCAAGAACCTTGGGATTGAAACAGCTGCTAACAGCAGTCAGTGGATTGTCAAGGTCCATTCAGATCTCCCCAGTCTACAGGTCAACATACTCTGCAATTTAAACTTCCTTTCATGATCTTATTAAGAAATATAACAAACAAACATGAGAAACGGGCTCAATCCACTTTTGCCCAGGCTAGCCTATCACATTAATTCACTTATTCACCATTCAAGTAATTTCATAACTTACAACCCATGACTCTCAATATCATACACCTCTGAGCAGAAGAAAAGACTTGGTTACCTAGCTAGTTACCCAGTGCTCAGCATACTCCTCCACCATGGTGCAAGTGTCCCCTGTATCACACCAGGAAGCACGAACGCCTCAGCAGTCCAGCTGCTGTTGGATCCACTTCAAAAGCTTTTTGGGTAAGCTGGTGTTTCATATCCTCCAGCTTGGAGGTTTGGTTTATACCATTTCCTTGAGTTAATGAATTCTGAAGAAACCGCCAGACAAAATACAATGGCTGCCAGAGACAGCAATTTTTAAGTGCAAATATACCAAAGAGGGAGGAGAGAAGTCTAGGGAGATTTAGGAAGCTAAAGCTTTGACATCTGTAGTGGTCATATAATAGAAAATATAATGAATAGACTTAATGGACATGTGTATAAGTATGCTGTATCTTTGGAAGAGTCAGTATAACTCTTGTAAGGAAATCCTGTCTCTTGTAGTTCTTACAAGGGGTCAATAATCGCATGCATGAGAGCAATCCTGCTACCCTTGAAGTTTCCCAGCATCACTTCTAAGGAAAGTGGTCAGCCATAGCAGATGTTTTCCTGGTAAGCAGGCAGGAAAGGTGGGTGGGAATTAATGATCAGTTCCCGCAGTGGACAGAAAACACCTACAGCACTCTACCATGTCTGCAATAGGACCCCACCTGCCTGCTGACAGGACAGTCCTGCCATCCTGCTCTTATGGCACCTCTAGCCAGTGCAGTCCTCCAGGACACTCAGATAAAGCTAGCCCTGGCTTTTTTTGTCCCTGCACCTGGGTAAGGAGAGCATCATAAGTGAACCCACACCACCTTCTTGGTCTTCCCTCTTCACCAGGTCCTTGCAGCAGGATACACAGTGGGATGACTTATTGCTAGATCCCCTCTACTCCGCCATGTCCCTCAAGGAGCTCTTGCTGCATGAATCCCAGCAGGGCAGGATGCTGCCTATCTCACTGCAGGAGCTGAGTTCCCCAGCTCTAGGGGACAGCATGGGAGCACTGCAGCCTGCTGAGACCTGAGAAAAGCATCAGACACCCTTCTCATGTGTGGCTGACAACACTGGCCAGAGCTGCAGAGAAAAGAGACCTCTTCTGGAAGCAGTCAGCCCTGCTGATGACAAGGTGAACCAGGGTGCCATACAGATATGCTAAAAGATC